ATAAAACATTGAAAAGAAAAAAATGTTGGCTTTTATAATTCCGGAGTGACTAAAATTAAGCAGTGCCAAGAAAATGCTTATTGCAGAAGATAATGGCATATGACAAGCTGTATCCAGGTCAACAAAGCTTTATTTTTATGACCCATCTGTTGGAACACAGAAATGACTGCTACATAGAGAACCTCTTCTGTGTAATAGCATTTGCTGAGATTTAACCTATATTCCTCTTACATGAAAACAAAGGTACATCAAGCTTCCACTTAATCCTCAAAACTTAATACTGCAATCACAACATTGACAATACGGAGTAAACAGAAACTATAGTGGGTATAAGTTGCTTTTCTTCAACTCAAGCTTAAGATAAATGAAAAGAAAGCAAATGCAATACATTACCTAAATGTACTGAAGCTAAATACGACAAAAATCAACTTCTACATAGTTACATAAAAACCACTATGAAGTTGGTATTAATGGTATTTTAAACTTGACGTTACATTGTGAATCATGCTGCTCCCTAATTTGTGATTAATCTTCCTTCTTCCTTCCTCACCTTCCCACCATGCCCCACAAAAAAAGGATGATCCTTACAACAACTTTGGGCCAGGGAAAATAAGTCAAAACCAACTGCTGTTTAATAATTGAGCATCATTGGTTTTAGTTATTAATTTTAATAACTTGATTACAAGGTTAATTTCTGCTTGACCAATACTGGAGCTTTTTGGTTGATTTTTGAGAAAAGCTGTTTCATGTATTTTATATTTACAGTGTAGGTTTTATAAGAGAACCTTCCAAAGAAAGGCAAGCATGGATGAAGAAACACTTCAAGAAAACAAAATTAAAGAAATCTGTAAGATACTCATATTCCTGTTCTGTTATACTTACCAGCATAGCTGATTCCACTGCCTGCAGTAATAATAGAATAGAAGAATTTTAAACACTGCTATCAAAAAGATTACTAAGTTATCAAAATTTTTATCTAAGCTAAGACCATCTAGGTTATAAAATTAAATACTACCAAACTCTTATCATATTATAAACACTCTACTTTGCAAACATATTCAAATATTAAGTTAGCTCAATAGAAGCAGAAACTATTTCAACTATTAAAAAGTTATATCTACCATATTCTATACTAGTAGAATAAAAAGCCTGCTCACTTGAAGGAAAAGAAAACTAATATGCTGCCACAAGGTAGGTGAAACTGTGCTATAATGAGGTCCTTCTGTACCTCCAAAAAAATTCCCCTTGATAAAAGGACTAAAACAAGGTCCATGCTATATCAAATTTCATATTGCAATATGTTATAGAAATTCCATTATTGCCTTAGTAAATTTTCATTTTAATTCATAGCACAGTTTGTAGCTAATAAGCAAATAAGAGCTATATTTAAATTTAAATAAGAGCTATTATTATAAAACAAGTACTTTATCTCCTAAATCATGATGTGGTTATGCTAGAACTTGCTAAATATTTATTTCGAGATTTTATTTGGATCACAGAACATATGTCATGAGGTAAAGAAACCGAATTGGTCTTACCATCTTTTCCATCTATGGGTCTTGACATTTCAACATCAAAATTTTCTTGCATCTGTTGACCTTTAAAACACTTAAGGTGTTCTTGTTCAATTAAATTGCTTTCTTCCTCTTCTAGTGGTTGCCAAGTACCATCAATGAACCACTGTCCACGCATTACTGGTATTTTGTCACTTTCTAGAAACATAATAAATCAAAGAATATATCATTTCTGCATTCTGCTTCTTGGGAACAATTAACAAAGGAACTACAATTTTAGGTGTTGTTTCAATACATCAAATACATGCTTAAGATACAATGGCATCAAAATGACTTTTAAAAAGTTTAAGGTTCCAAGTGGAGATTTTAAGCTAGAACATATTATACACTTTCAACAGCATGTCATCATTGTTGTTTGACTGGACCTATGATTTCAATAGCTTAGGGGAGCTCTTGGTGAGAAACTCGTTCTACCAATGCAGACTGGCATCTTCTTTGAAACTTAGTCACTGAGTTGCCTGAGGCACTGAGAAGTTAAATGACCTACATAGAGTCACTGTGCTCATGTGTCTTGGTATTTGAACCCAAATCTTACTGAGTGTGATCCCAACTCTATCTGTTAACACCATTTTGTCTTTCAAAGCTTAATTGTATCCCATGAAAGATTACATTGATGTAAAAATGATAAAAAAACAAAACAAAACACTCTACTTATCTAACTGCCTAAAAATAATCCTTGAGCAGTTAGGTAACTGTCTTGCATGGCCAAGGCAACAACTCCGGTAATACAGAAACAATTAGTACTATCCTACATAACTTCAGCAACAGCATACTTGCTCACTATGCTTTAGTAGCTCCCAAGTCATAGCACAGGAGCAACTAAAGTCTTTAAATATTATATTTCTTAATATATTTTCTCTACTCCACATGCAGAAAATTAATAAAATTCTTTCCTTAAGTAATCCTCCCCACCACCATATGAAATTTTTCTTTCCTTTGAACAAGCATCGACAGCTGCCAGGACAGGTTCCTTGTGTCTTAATAAAAAAAATCCATCAGGTTCACTGCTAGAGATAAGAGAGCTTGCCTTAAAGAGCAATTATTAAATATAATACAATGTATTTTGTCCGAGTCCACTGGCTAAGCTGGAAAGCAATTTACCAAGTCCTCTTATCTTCACCCTAATGATTCTGTAAATTTTAAATCTTGTTATCCTCAGCAATCTGGGGTTGTTGAATACTTGGTAGTGAAGGAACTAAAGATATCTACAACTTTGTTAGGGAGATAATATACTAGAGAACTAGGACTGGATTCCCAGATCAAAGCCTGCAAATCTAAAACTATATTAATGAATGTAAATTCTAAATATAAACCTTTTAATCACCTTTCCCTTTTCCCCATTTAACAAGTACAGACTTTAAAATTACATCAGGATCCAGATCTACCTACAACTCTCTCCTCTACTACCACTGTTTTAGAATGAAAACATCAGGGGAAAAAGGAATAAAAGGGAAAGATGAATGTAAGTACAATAGTTCAGCACAAACATGGCTCTGCAGGGTGCCACAAAGAAAAATCAAAGGGAATAAAATGAATCATAGCAACATTCTTCCTACAATGCTTAAAGGTTTACACACTGCTTTACTCAATAACCCTGTGAGGTAGGTAATGCAAGTAATATCACACCTACTTTAAAAATGAAGGACCTGGGGCAGCTAGGTGGCGCAGTGGATAGTGCAGTGGAGGTCAGGAGGCCCTGAACTCAGGAGGCCCTGAGTTCAAATCCAGCTTCGGACCAAACACTTGACACTTACTAGGTGTGTGACCCTAGGCAAGTCACTTAACCGTAACTGCCTAAAAATAAAAAATAAAAAATGAAGGAACTGAGGTTCAGAGAGATTAAGATACTTACCCATGGTCATCCAAGTGTGTCAGAGTAGATAAAACCAGAAGAGACTGCCTGGTCTAATTCTTTGGTTCCTGGCCACTGACTTACTCTAACCTCCAGGGCAACTGGTTGTTAATCCTATTATTAAGATTCTTACTGTTTGTAGATTCCATAATGCCCCTCCATAACTATTCCAGTGTTACCACTCTTATAGTCAAACACCTCTTCCTTTATCTCTAAAAAAAACCCTTAATGTAAATTTAAATGTAATTCCAGTTGTTCTGTCTTCCATTGAGATGGACTACTGGTCAGCATCTTCCTCTTAAGAATATGAAGGGTTAGTTCAGGGAGGAGAGAGCCAAGACAGACGAGTAAAGGCAGTGCCTCACCTGAGCTCTCCCCCAAAGGCCTCCAAATACCTTCAAATAATGACTTTAAACAAATTCCAGAATGGTAGAACCCACAAAAAGATGGAGTGAAACAATTTTCCAGCCCAGGACAACTTAGAAGGTCAGTAGGAAAGGTCTGTTGCACCAGGGCGAGAGTGGAGTCTACTCCAGTGCAGACTGGGCCCCAGAAAACTCGGAGCAGGCCTTGGGGTAACTGATTTAGCAGCAGTAGTGGCTGTTTCCAGACCTCTCAGCCCACAGATGGTAAAGGAATTGGACAACTAGTCAGAAGGAGATTTACAGGGAACCCTCTGGATCACAGTCCTAGGTCTCAGTCCCATGGCAGGAAGGAGCACTTAGCACACCAGAGCTTGTGGCCACAGGCAAGCAGGTGTATCTGGTCACAGTTCCATGGTGGAAAAAAATGCTTGTGGCTGCTCACAGATCAGTGCACAGTAAACACATCTGTCTCTAGATCGCACCACCTTGGAAGAGCCAAAAACTTTCAGGTCTCCAGAATTACCTCTGAAAACAGCTGCACAAAAAAGCTGAAGTTTGGGACAATGCCCCCTCGACTCTGGAAGCAAAGCCATACTTTAAGAGTTACAAGTCAAGAAATAGGCTAGTAAACAAGGAGACAACAGAAAAAGATCCTGACTATAGAAAGTTACTATGGTAATAGGGAAAATCAAAACACAAACTCAGAAGAGGACAATGAAGACAGAAGAAGATAAAACTTCTAAATCCAAAGCCTCCAAGAAAAATATGAACTGGCCCCAGGCTATAAAAGAACTTACAGAGGCTTTTTAAAAATCAAGTAACAGACCGGTCTCAGACACATAACACTTACTAGCTGTGTGACTCTGGGCAAGTCACTTAACCCCATTGCCTAGCAAACAAATCAAGTAAGAGAGGAACAGGAAAAATTGGGAAGAGAAATGAGTGGGATGCAAGAAAATCATGAAAAAAAGAGTCAACAGCTTGGTAAAGGAGACACAAAAAATGATGAAATAACATCTTAAAAAAATAGAATAGGACAAATAGTAAAAAGGGCACAAAATTCCAATGAAGAGAAGAATGCACTGAAGAGCAGAATTGGCCAAATGGAAAAGGATATACATTTCAGTTTGTCAACATTCATTTCCACAAGATTTTGATTTTGAGTTCAAATTTTCTCTCCATCTCATCCCTCCCCCCACCCTAAGATGGCATGCACTCTGAATACCCCTTCCCCTAATCTGCTCTTCCTTCTATCTGCCTCCCCCTATTCTTTGATCCCCTCTTCCCCTTCCATTTTCCTGTAGAGTAGGATAGATTTATATACCCCATTGTCTATTTATCTTATTTCCCAGCTGCATGTGAAAACAATTTTTAACATTTGTTTTTAAAACTTTGGGTTTCAAATTTTCTCCCTTCCTACCTCCCCACTCACCCTCATTGAGAAGGCAAGCAACTCAATACATGTGTAGTAATGCAAAACACTTCCATAGTAGTCATGTTGTGGAAAGCTAACTATAACATCATCCTAGTCCATCCCCCATTTATTCTATTCTCTCTTTTGACCCTGTCCCTCTTCAGAAGGAAGTGTTTGCTTCTGATTACCCCCTCCACCAATCTGCGCTCCCCTTTATCATCCCCCTACTCTCTTATCCCCTTTCCCTCTATTTTCCTGTAGGATAAGGTAGATTTTCATACCCAAATGACTGTGTATGTTATTCCCTCCTTAAGCCAAATCTAATGAGAATAAGATTCACTCATTCCTTCTCACCTTCCCCCACTTCCCCGACTGTAAAAGCCTTTTCTTGTCTGTTTTATGTGAGGTAGTTCACCCCATTCTACCTCTCCCTTTCTCCTTCTCCCAGTATAATCCTCTCACCCCTTAATTTTATTCTCCAGATATCACCCCTTCATCTTCAACTCACCCTGTGCCATCTATCTATCTATCTATCTACCTACCTATCTATTTATCTATCTACATATAATTTTTTCCCTCTCCAACTACCCTAATACTGACAAAGGTCTCATGAGTTACAAATATCATCTTTCCATGCAGGAATGTAAACAGTTCAACTTGATAAGTCCCTTATGATTTCTCTTTCTTATTTACCTCTTCATGCTTCTCTTGAGTCTTGCATTTGAAAGTCAAATTTTCTATCCAGCTCTGGTCTTTTCATCAAGAATGCTTGAAAGTCCTCTATTTCACTGAATATCCATTTTTTCCCCTGAAGGATTATACTCAATTTTGCTGGGTAAGTGATTCTTGTTTTTAATCCTATCTCCTTTGCCCTCCAGAATATCATATTCCAAGCCCTCTGATCGATCCTGCAATGTAGAAGCTGCTAAATCTTGTGTTATCCTGATTGTGTTTCCACAATACTTGAACTGTTTCTTTCTGGCTGCTTTGCAATATTTTCTCCTTGACCTGGGAACTCTGGAATTTGGCTATAATATCCCCAGGAGTTTTCCTTTGGGGATCTCTTTCAGGAAGTGATTGGTGGATTCTTTCAATTTCTATTTTAACCTCTGGTTCTGGAATATCAGGGCAGTTTTCCTTGAAAATTTCTTGAAAGATGATGTCTAGGCTCTTTTTTTTGATCATGGCTTTCAGATAGTCCAATAATTTTTAAGTTATCTCTCCTAGATCTATTTTTCCAATGAGATATTTCTTATTGTCTTCTATTTTTTCATTCTTTTGGGTTTGTTTTACAATGTCTTGATTTCTCATAAAATCACTAGCTTCTAATTGCTCCATTTTAATTTTAGAGTTAGTATTTTCTTCAGTAACCTTTTGGACTTCCTTTTCCATTTGGCCAATTCTGCTTTTTAAGGCATTCTTCTCCTTATTGTTTTTTTGGACCTCTTTTGCCATTTGGGCTAGGCTATTTTTTAAGATGTTATTTTCTTCAGTATTTTTTGTGTCT